TTTTTTTTTTTTTTTTTTTTTTTTGCTGGAGGCAATAGATAGTCTCGAGATTTTTTAATCCAGATTTCATTTAGCTCCTAAATTGATTTCTTCGGCTATGGGATTTTGATGACATTCTTCTTTGTTAATATAAATTGAGAGATCTTTTCGTGATATTCGTAACTTGAGCTAGTGGGATGGTTTTATCTTTATTGTGGTCTTTCTTTTCTAGATTATGTCTAACCCAACTATATGTGCATCTATACATAGATATAAATATATGCATGTATATCCATGTATGTGAAATAAAATTGATCATTTCCCCCTTTTTTCTTGTCATTGTTTTGGTAGGTAAATAACAACTTCCTCTCAGTTGGCAATGCAAATAAGGAAATCACGGTAAGCATGATGTAAATTTGTTTACAACCACTTGAGGAAGTAAAATTGATGATTTCAAGTCATGGTTGTCCTGTATGAATTAATTGAAAGCTGTATTTCTCAGCCATTGTTCGAATGTAACTAAATTGAACAGAAAGATGTCTTTCACTCTCTCTCTCTCGCACATCCACCTAGATTAGACATGATCAACGTGATTCTAGTTGTTGGAAGGGAAAACGGTGACGCATGAATGTGAAGCCTTTAATCTATTTAAATTTCTTTTGACACCTAATTCTTTGTTCTTGGAGTTGTATGCTTTAAAATTTTGGATTCCACTTCACTATAATTGCGCATTCCTGATAATTGCATATTTTCCAAGATGTGTCCCGCTGATTTTCATGAATATTTCAGGTGTTTAATTTCAGCACTGGGAGGATTGTGACAAAATTAGTTCTTGATAGTGAGGTTACATCCATGGACCATGATCACACTGGTCAGATCCTTTTCTGTGGAGACGGAAATGTATGTCATTGGTGCAATTATATTATGAACTTTCTTCTCTGAAAACCAAACGTTTATTTCCTAAGATTGACTATTGAGATTGCATGTGTAGGGATATGTTTACTCTGTGAGCATGAACTCTCATACAGGAGCTTTATCCCGTGCTCACCGCCAATGGTGTAGTAGCCGGCGCAAATCTCCTGTATGTACTGTACAATATCGAAGCTTCTCTCTGCTGGCCAGGGGCCCTGTATTGCTAACTTGCACTCAAGATGGGAACTTGTCTTTCTTCAGGTTTTGTCAACATGAAATGGCTTTCATTTTATTCTTTTATTTCTTGTTGACTACTTATAAGGTTTTATGTTGACTCTCTAGTATTGCTTTGGAAGTTCAAGGATATTTGACCCTTCGTTGCTCACTCAAATTAGCTCCAAGGATACATAGCATCCGTGCTTCATTCTGCCCCCTACTCTCCCTGGAAAAAGGAGAGTACATTGGTAAGGACTGTAAAATTTTCTTCAGAAATCATATAATCAAGTGGTGAAATAGAGATAATTGTATCACACAGGCAGATACGGTATTCAAAGTATTACAAATCCATCACTTGAGATGTAATCATGAATACTTAAAGATCGTAGACTCGTACAAAATTCATACTATTTTAATGTTCTCTGTTCGTTCCACATTGTAATTGATCACACAAGCAGATAACTGTATCACACAGGCAGTACCGTTTTCAAAGTATTACAAACCCATCACTTGAGATGTAATCATGAATACTTAAAGATTGTAGACTCGGACGAAATTCATACTATTTTTAATGTTCTCTGTTCATTCCACATTGTAGTTGATCACACAAGCAGATAACTGTATCACACAGGCAGATACTGTTTTCAAAGTATTACAAACCCATCACTTGAGATGTAATCATGAATACTTAAAGATCGTAGACTCGTATGAAATTCATACTATTTTAATGTTCTCTATTCTATTCGTTCCGAATTGTAATTGATTTCAGTGATATTTTGATTTGTTATGATTTTAGTTGCAGGAAGTGAGGATTCAAATGTCTACTTCTATGATTTGACACGACCCAAACATACTTGTGTCAACAAGCTCCAGGTTCACATGTTCTTCATGCTCTCTCCAAGGTAAAACTATCTAGTTGACAGTTCGTTGTCGATTAACCAGCACACATGTGACTCTGCAGGGCCACCAGTTTCCAGTCATTGGGGTTGCCTGGAACCATGGGGAGAATCTGTTGGCTTCGTCAGATCTTTATGGGACGGTAATTGTATGGAAGAGATCAAAGATAAGTTAGAAAGACATGTGTGAATAGATTTTGGAAATGGCTCTGTTGATTAATGAACATCTTTCTTCTCCATTTTGCTCCCATGTTTTTGTCGTTCTTTTATCAACTTCAGTTAATCATCAGTATCTCAGAGAGTGTTTTTTTTTCTTCTTTTTATCCTTTTTAGCTCATTAGTTTTAGAAAGGGGAGTGATCATATTCTGAATACACCTCTGTAATTACAATGTAGCAAAATATCATATTGTTGAAGTTTTGAAGTGAGTAAATAAATGCTATTGATTTACAGTGTTCAACTCTTCGGCCTTGATCACCTAATGGACTGAGAATGAGATATCATATTAGATAGAGAAGAAAATCAACACTCCTAACAAACTCTAAACCTATCTTTCTTGTCAATATGGACATCGATATAGTTTTTTTTTTCTTGTTTGATATGTACTTAGAGCCATGCATCTATCTAATTTATGGGTTCTATGTAGCTACCGGTTGGCGACGACTTCAGCCAATAGTTTTTTTGACATGAATCTTCTCTTAGTATGGTTGTCAAGTGTCACAATTGCACTTGCTCGGAATGTTTATAAGCAATTATGCTGCACTCACTCTCAGCACTAAGTGAGTCAGCCAACTCAAATTCGCATCGCCTACGGTCGGATGACTATGCTCAAGCCTTTGGCTTGCTTTGAGAGGAAAGTTTTACAAAACGGGGTAGAGATGTTTTTGAAAGAGTTTGAAAACAAGGTAAAAAAAAAATGTTGAAAACCAATATTATAGGCTAGTAAGCAAGAAAGACAACACAACAACTTAGATAACATATAACTCTAGGTAGGAAGAATTGACAACTAGTCGCATTTCCCTATAAGAAAGCTATATATCATGATTTTGAGGCATTTTCAGTCTACTTGTCATAGACATGGTTTTACTAAAATATCATACTCTTACGAAATACAATAAGAAAGCTATATACCATGAAAGCAATAAAGTAGTATAACATGAGGGGTTTGACATGCAATGGGCATACGACGACAAGCAACACGCCTTAGACAAGCAACACGTCTTAGACAAGCAACACGCCTTAGACAAGCATGACTAGGACACTAAACATCTCAGTCTACCAGCACATATGAACAGTGGTATTGCATTTTGAATTTTTCATCTCCGACATTGCAACATATCAATCACCAAGTCAAAATTTGAAAATGTTGGTTATATAATGGTGTAAATTCAGTATACCAAAGTTTGGCCACTTAAGCAAGGACAATAATGGCTGACCATATATAATAATTGACCAAGGAGCCTCCTTTTTGTATCAAACCTTGCACCTGCAAATCCCAAGTCTTGAACTGCCTGTTGATGTATTGGAAATATAAATTAAAGAGAGTTACAATTCCAGTAGAAGGTTCAAGTTTCATGAAGGTTCTAGAACACGTAAGTATCCATAACACGTTGAGCTATTTTAGGCTTTAGTCTATGAAATGCTAAAAGCTTAGACACGTCAATCTTAACTATTTGTGATACCAACTTGTTATGCCTTGTTCACTATCTGTGATATCAACTTGTTATGCTTTGTTCACTATGTTACAATTGTGAGTCTTTCGATTATTTTCATAGTAGGAAACATTTATGGTTGACCCACATATGTTTCTTTAGTTGGTGCTCCCCTCATGTATATGATATTACTAGGCTATAGTTCTAGGGTCACCAACTACCACCGGTAGCAAAGAGTCCTTTATAGTTAGCTCACAAATATAGTTTAGTTCGTTTAACTGGGTACTAGCTAATTGCACACTTTGATCAATTAAGCCTTGAATGTACGTATGAAAGGATGTCCAAGGCCTAATGAGTGCTAAGTAACAAAACCCCAAGTTTATTAGTTTTAAGAGTTATGTTCATACAAGGAGGGCTACTTACCAAACATATTTATACTCATTCATGCTATTCTTTTCTTTTCGGATGATACCTAACATGATATGTAATAAGAGCATTTCAGAGCAACGATGTTTTAAAACCATGTTTTTGGTGACATCGAGACGTAAAAAAGAAAAGAGAGGGATGAGGTTTCTCTCACTTCTGGCATAGCCCATTAAAGCGGTACGTGAGCTGGGTTCAGAACGTTGTGAGACAGTTCGGTCCCTATCCGGTGTGGGCTTTAGAGCATTTAGAGGACCTTTCCCTAGTACAAGAGGACGTGAAGGATGCACCTCTGGTATACCAATTATCGTGCCTAGTTGTATCACTCCCCTAGATATTCTCTACCTACACACCTGTGTCGGTTTCGGGTACAAGTACCCTTATTTTTTGTTTTGTAGAGGACGACTCTCTATCGACTATGTAGGAAATGACGGGTTGTTATTCACTCTCATCTCCTTCCATTGTTATAGCTTTAAATCCCAATATTAAAAATTGGTCACATTTTTTGTTTTGGCCTTTCTTTTAGTTACAATCTTCAATTTCCATTCTAAAAATGTATAAATTGTTCCTTTTGACCTCTTTTTGGGCCCCTCAAGGAAATAATATGGGACGAGGCCCAAACTTGAAGCCCAAACTTGAAGCCCACTCTAACAGGCCTCATTTGAATTGTGCCATGGTTTCCTCACTCTAATTAACAGTATAATGTGATGAAATTACTTTTTCAAAATTCCAATTAAATATCATTTTAAAAAAATATATTTTTTCAAAACTTAATAGTACTCAGCGCGATTCGATTTTTGAGATTTTAAACGACTAAAACATAAGACGAAAGTAAATAAAAATAAAAGTACACGGTAAAATTTTGCATGATGTAAAGTCATACAATATCGTAGTCAATTCCAAAATAAATACAAAATTAAACTGACACTTCGAGTCAATACCCCTTTGTGATAGCGTAGCTCCAAAACACCTCTCCATCTCGATCCGTACTTGAAAAAGAAAAAAAAGGAAAGAGATACGTATAAAAATACTTGGTAAGCAACCTACTTCCCACTAAGTTACCATGGACTTTTCTTTAGGCTTTAAGAAGTTCGGGCTAGTTTAGGAATTCCCTCGATCCCTTACATTACCTACTTATTTAGTCCCTCGTCTCCTTTCAAGAGTATCTAAGAAAGAGAGGACCCGCAATTACTATAGTAGGACCCAGTGCTAACGTCAACATGCACGTGTCCGGATAGAAACCCTTGTCTCCGAATAAGCTCCTCCTCCATGCAAACTCTATTTTCTTTTGTCTTTCTAAATTATAAAATAGTTCAAACTTAATTATTATTGAAACTTCTAACAATATTTTCAATTTTTCTAAAAATATTAAAAAGTATAACTGATGAAAATTTTAATATTTCTTTCAAAAAAAAATTAATTAACACAATATCTAAGAGTCGCAAAAATAATTATTAAATAAGCAAGGACGATTTTCGTCCCTTTATTTAAATTTTTAAAAAGTATTAATGAAAACATATTTTTAAAATAAAGGAGGAGTATTTTATTTATTTCATTTAAGAATATTTTTAAAACTTAGGAAGTTAATGAAAATTTAATTTTATTTATTTATTTTTTCTTTTATTATTTTTAAAATTTTAATTTTCACTTTTTTATCCATTAGGAGTGGGTCTTTGATGCCTCCATGATATCTAATCATTTGGCGCGTGGGTCCCACTTTCCACTATATAATCAAATTATTCTTAGATATAAATTCAAAAAAATAATATATATTATATATATATATAAAGTAATTGCAGATCATATTTAATCACGACCGTCCACGTGTCGACATTGACGCAATCATAATAGTTAAACCTCATTAGTTAATGTGTCGTATTGGTCAGACTGAGAGTTATTATTAATGTCGTGTACAAGATTTTTTTTTTTTTTTTTTTATTGATTAAATTTAAGGTTAAAATGACGGATTTAAATTTTTAGTGTTTAATTATAACGCTCGATATTCTAAATTTAAATTTAGCTTTTTATGTCTCCAACATTCTCATACATCTCTTACAATATAGTCATGTTGTTTGCTCGGTTCCCAGAGTGAAGACTATCCCTCCAGAACAACAAAGTGCATTTTTGTTTATTGCTCACTTATAAAAACTTCATATTTAAGCGTGTCTTGTTTGAATAATTTTATATTGTGTGACTTTTTTAAATTTTCTTAAAATACATGTGAATGAGGACAAATCATACTAGAACGACTCATAAAAATTCTTATGAACTTTATTCAAAAAAGTTTATGTGACTTATTAAATATAAATTAAAATTTTTAAAAGAAAAATAAATAAATAAAATGGGGCCTTCTAATGATTTCTTAACATGGATTAATATGTAGCCGGTCAACGGACTGACACGTGGCAGAAAAAGATTTGCTGTTGGAGTTAGGTTAAACAGACACGCGGCATAGATTGTTTTAAAAAGCTTGTTAAGGCAATTGGGAACAGTTCGTGCCGGTCGGATTTAATTACTTCTTTATTAATATATATATATATATATATAAATGTTTAAAAATATCCTTAAACTTTAAAAAGTTTTATTAATATCATTAAATTTTAAGAAAATTTGAAAATACCCTTTAACTTTTGTATTTTACTTTTTTTAATTTTAGGATATTATTGGTATTAATATTTTTTTTTAGACCATCTGCAAAACTTAAAAGTATTTTTCTAAATATGGTTTTAAAATTAGGTATAATAAAATTATAAAATAATAAAATAATTTGAAAGATGAGAAATAAAATTTATAATTTTAATGGGTCATAAATAATATAAACAAAAAATTTAAAACTTAAAACTAAATTTATAGTTTAACAAAAATAAATAAATTAAATTAAATTAAAGAGATCATCGGTGTACACCAATCAATCCGATCAGAACGATTCTCTGTTCCCTGTCAGATAAATAAAATTAAAAAACCGAATCTTATTCTTTTTATTTATTTATTTATATTTTCATTTTATATAATTTAGAGCTTCTCTTCATGCACGCGCTATTTCCGCGACTGGACCTCACTCTCCAATCACAGCCCTCTATTTCAAATCTAACCATTGGGTGCGAATCTCTACGTTATTGTGACTGTTTAAAGTTTCTGGTGTCTGGAAACGGCAGCTGCACGGACAGCGGCTGTTCCGTGCCCCTGCCCAGAGTCAGCTCTCTTTATGTTCCGTGTTTACCCTTCCTTTTTTCACTTTATTACCACTGTCTTTGCGTGTTCTTTGGTCGTTTAATTAGGACGTTTCTGACATTTTGTCTTTTATTTAACGGTTTCCCGTTTTTCCCCTTTAAACGGTATTAATATTTAGTTATACATCTCATAATAATAATAATAATAATAATAA